GAAAAGAGTGGGATTTGTTTTATAAATATTTTAATTAGTTTAGTGGTAGATGGTTTATAAATATTGAAAAATATAGGTGAAAGAAGAAGAAAGGGTTAAAATTGGAAAAATATTTAATTTGGTGGTGAAATAAGATATTTTGAGGGTGGAAATAGCACGTCGTAATTATTTGTATGACTTAGACATGAGTTTGTTAGTTTTTCATGAACGGAACGGACTTTTCTAATCAACAATCTGGGTGATGTCATGCAACACGTCACACACACCTCGTTTGTCAAACGTCATCATAGTTTTGTCTCTATTGGTCTTTAATTTAATTTTCATGGGTCAATCTTTGGTTGCTACACAAACTTATCTCACAATTAATTCATAACTTAAATTCATCGGAAAATCCCCCATTTGAGCAATTTGTTGAGAGATATATAGCATGAAAATTTCAATTTCACAGCGTATCCATGTTTTGGAGTTATTTCGTCTAACTACTGGGCACAAATTATGGGTGATTTTGCAATTGCTGAAAAGTTAAAAATTATGATCCAATAGCGAATTTCTTATTTTCCTAATTATTTATATAATTTAATGATCAATTGCAAAATGATAGTTGCCAATAATATTTCTTTTGAATAAAATTGTATGGAAATATATAAAAAGAGTTTCTACATAAATAAAATCTTACGCTGTTTATATAGCTTATTTATAAATATACCTCTATACTTATAACATTGACACGTTTCAACCAAGTAATTCATTCATGTATTGCTATTTTGGGACATACCGTTTTTTTCGTACCAATTTCCCATGCCCGTTTTCCGATTTTTCATATTGTTGTTTTCGTGTCCGTACTACACCAGTGGTTGCAAGTTAAAAAGGATATGAACCCAATTCCACAGCCAAACCTAAGGGCATCTTCCACCCATCTCCATATCCTATTTTTTTCACCTAATTTAGGTGTTTTTAACCTCCCAACTTAAATCACTAAATCGGCATTACACCTAAAATTATGATGATTTGGTTTTACTCTCCCATCGTGGTCAAACCACATATCACCATATTACTAAATCCTATATTTTCACCAAATTTTTTGGTGAAGAAATTTGCAACTCCCACCCTATCACTACTTTACCAATTTTTCACCAAATCCTATTTTTTATATCAAATATAGAAATTAAAATAGGATTTGGTGTAATTAACACCATTTCATAATTAGTATATAAAATTATTATATTAACTAATTTCATGTGATTACCAATTTATAAGCATATTTATAGAAAATATATTAGTGTTAATTAATGAATTAGTGTTCAAAAGATAAATACATTACTTATTATTATTATTATTATTATTATTATTATTATTATTATTATTATTATTATTATTATTATTATTATTATTATTATTATTATTATTATTATTATTATTATTAAATAAAAAAAGACTTGCATGATGTCATGTTTGCATGCATTATTATGCACAATATGATAGTTGAGGAGGAACGTAGTGGATATCTAAATGCCATTCTTGACTATGAAAGTTCACCCACTGTCCCTCTAGCTGAACTTTCAAGAGATATAAATAATACGAAATATGTTAGTTTTCTTGGTCGACATCGGAATTTGATAAATTAAGGAGAACATAATGAACTAAGAAGAAGGCTGGTAGCACATTTGTGGGATAAACGTGACCAACTAGATGGTGTTGAAGATGATGACGACAATAATGGTGAATGAGACCCTATGCTAATAAGGGGTACGCTTTCCTTGTTAGGCCAAACAAGGTTTTGATGAGGCCCCTTTGACCTTCAAAATTATCAATGCAATAATTTGTTTTGGCCAAAAAAATGTTGTAATGTTTTTTTTTTTTTTTAAATCGTGTTGTAATATTTTTATGCATTTAGTTATGAAATTATTGTTCATGTGTGGTTTTATTATATGTATAATAATTTACGTCGATTTTCATTCATGTTTCAATAGTTTTTTAAAATTTAATATAATTCTAAGATTATATAATCAATAAAATTATTACTTATAATCGGATCTATAATCAATATTTTTAAAATTAAAATAGATTAAAATTATGATTAACATTAAATTATAATTTTGTGATATATTTTATGAAATACTATGGGAGACCAAACCAAATGCTATTCTCTATAAATAGGAAAATGGTGAAATATTATTATTTTATTGTTTAGTGTAAAATTTGTTGAAATTGGTGGGAGACCAAATGCACTATTTTTTCACCAAAAGTAGTGAAATTATAGAATGGTGTGCTAAGGGTGGGAGATAAACCCATTTTTTCACCACAAAAAATAGGATTTGGTGAAAAAATGGTGATTAGGGTGGAAGATGCTCTAACCAAAGTCTTGATGAAATATCCACTAATCATGATTCATGATTCTTGATCAAGGTTTGGATAGTGTCATAATGGGTACCGGTGAGTGGGGTCATGTAAAATTATTATTAATTATTAAATAATTATTATTTTTATTTTCTGGATAAAGTTGGATGGACTTATCACATAAAACTTTGTTATTCAAAGGAAACATGTGGTTATTCTTTGTTTGACTAATTTTGGTTCATTTGATTTTTCTTTTTTTGGGTATCTCATTATTAAGTCGGGCCGAATCTCGATATGTCGGCCCGGATTTATTTGAGCGTACAATGACTCAACTGTAATAACTGGTTCGATTAAATAAGTAATTTAAATTTTTATTATTTCATATATTTACTTATGTTTATTTTTCTTAAAATTAATAAAACATTACTAATATTAATATTAATTTTTATTGATGCGACGTCGTTTTCAGTTTCCTCGTGGGGTTTGTGGGCAAAGTCAATCAAAGAGACATGAGAGTTGGAATGTAGTGTAGTAGTGGGGTTGCATCATTCCCCACAACAGAGACAATAAAACATGCTGACACTCTGAATATGAAAATCCTTACCAAAAAATAAGGTTCATGAGTTCATCCTAGGATCGAAATCGGACGGAATTGATCGAAAGAAACTTTTTTAGAAATTTTCAATTTTTTTCGATAGTAAGACTTGGGTTTCAATTTTTGTTTCAAAAAAATCGGACTACAATAGTTCATTCTGATTTTGGAATACCTCAGAATCGGCAGAATTTCGAAAATTCAAAAAATTATGTTAGTTTGTAGTCTATCTGTTTTGAAATTTTTTTGCATGAAAATGCAAGAAAATCCAAAAGCGAGTTCGACAAAATGCAATAAATAAAATACGGTTCTAAACCGGATAATTCTTATCGGAATGGCGGAATTCGGAAATTCCATTCCGATTTTCACCCGTTGTTCATCCCCATTTTTATTTATACCTCGGCTGCGCAATTAATAATTATTATTAATTAATATATACCCATTTATTTTTTTAAATAATTTGTAATTAACATAGGACATAAATATTTACATCAATTAGGATCTTGAAATTCTGATTTATAAGAGCAAATTCAATCTAATATTAATTCGATATTTAATATTTTGTTTAATACCTATATGAATTTATTTGCTCCAATTATAGGTATCAAATAATTCTTAATTAAATATATTTAAGATAATCATATATTTAATTACACATGTCATTATCTAATTGGTTTTTTTTTGTGAGGTTAAATATCTAACTCCTATTTGATATTATTTATTATTTCTCCATAAAGTATTTTTCTACCTTCGAAGAGTTAAAATATCAAAATACAACCCTCAGTTGATTAAGGATTTTAATACCGTATTTAATAACACCATTAGAGTTGCTCTAGATACTCCGATTCACCTCACTAATTATTTTGAAATATTTTATTCATAAGTTATATACAAAATATTTTAATGATGATGATTGTAACTTGTAAGTGAGCCTTTCCAATTATTTATTTATTAATAAGTAGATAGTATTTGGCTTTTGGAGGGTGGGATCGGAGCAAATTAGTAAATTTACTTAAATTAATTTTCATCCAAATATTTAAATTCACACTAGACCCCCAAATAAATTAAATTCGTTGATTTAGGTCCAGTTTGTTAGTCTTACGGTCACAGCCGACGTTTATAACCGGGACAGAAGAAGAGTCCCGTGCTGGTGACGCAAGCAGTTACGTAAGCACCACCCACACGTGGGTAGTCAAATCTTACGTGGCATCTCATGATTAGACCGTCTACTTCACCCCTCTTTCTTTCCTCGGCTGCGGTCAGCCACCTTTCACCCCAAGCAAACGCCAACTGTCTTTTTTAAAACATAAAACAAAAAAACAAAAAGGAAAACATTGAATTATAAAATATTTGATAATTATATATATATATATATATATATATATATATATATATATATATATATATATATATAATATTTAGTTTTTATTTTTTTTAAATTTTATTATCTAAAATTTATTAAATAGTTTCTACTCAATTTTATTGAAAAGCATCAATCACCTTTTCAAAATATTAAAATATAAAATATTAAATGTCGTTTCAATTTTACTGATACCGTTTTAACCTCGAAATCGATTTTTACATATTTCTAGTTTGATTTTGGCAAAATTCAAAATACGAAAAATGTAGTTCTTTGAGTTAACTTTCTAATGCTAAATCAGCTAGATTAGATGTCGTGTGACAAAGTTCTGCACGAATGAGTCAGATTTCAAATTATAGATAACTCAATACATCAAAGTTGTGGACATTGCTCATTGATTAATGTATATCTTTCTCATCCGACATCCAATATTGGTGACTCAAGTTGGATTAGAAAACTAACTGAAAAAAACTATGTTTCCAATTTTACAAAATTTGGAGGAAAAAAAAAAGATCAAAATCGCGTTTCTAGTCGAAACAGTATAATTAAACTCTAACGACATTTATCAAATCCCAAGTAAAATTAATACATGTAAGCCACAATATTTATAC